ACTTCTTTCTGTTGGCTTTTTGTCTGCATGCCTGCAGTTTCCAGGGATTTCCTGCAACTCACTTTCCCTGCTCACAGTCCTCACCCCAGGCACCATGATGCAGGTCACTAATTTGCCCATCTTCTGGCAGGAAACCCTGGTGGTCCATACAGGGGTGGACTTGAGAGAGGTTCAAAGCACCTGCACTCCTAGTCCTGCCTCTTTTCTATTCATGTTGCCAGTTCAAAGCCACATTGTGGCCAGGATCAGAAGGGTTGATACAATGCTTGAGAGGAACTGCACTTTTTGATAACGTAACAGGCTGAAGAAGTCTCAGGGTTCACCTAGAAGATTGATGATAAGGTCAACTCTCTCTAGTACTGCCAGCTTGAGTACAAAGGATGAGGGAGATGGATTTGGACTTGCAGCCTGGCTTGGATTCTGGTTACCCAACAGGATAGGTGCAAAACAGGACATTGACCTCCCTCACCAGCTGACGCCTGAGATAATGAGGTACCAGGGGAAAGGAGGGATTTCTATCCCAAGGGTGACCAAGAGGATGTTTTGTTCTTGCAGAAGAAATGTTGAATGAAATATTTCAGCAGAGCTTTGCGACGGGAGTCAGGCTGGGGGGGAGGTGGGGTCCCTTAGTGCTGTGGGAAGAATTCCCCTTCAGAATGGCAAGAAATCATCAGCTAGAAAACAGCAGTTGAAGGTCTCCAGGAGGTAACTGGGGCAGGCCAGATCTGGATTTCTGCAAGCACAGGAAAAATCAGGAGAGAAAACTGAACATCAGCTGCTCCCTTTCCCTTTCTCACTCAGTTTGCTGTGTTACCTGCTCTTCTTTGAAGGGTGCTCAGATGACTGAATATTACCCGTTTTCTTTACACCAAACTTGCAGTGCACAAGGTTTGCACAAAATTTCCTGCCTGGGCCACTTTCAGTAGGCATGGCACATCTTCAAAGACCTAAAAGATCAAAAATGGGCAGCTTGTCCCCCACCATACAGGGAGGGAAACTGGGACAGGAGGAAAACACATAGGAAACCTGGACCGAGCCTGGGAGTGGGTCAAAAAAGAAAAAAGTCAGGATCTGGTCATCATTTTTCCAGCCTAAAGAGTCTGGGAGAGGTTTGAAAGACCAATTTAGGAAACCAACTCCCATCCAAAACAATGTGAACTGGGCACTTGCATCCTGCCACAAAGTTTTTAAAGAAAAAACATCAACAGCAATAAAAAAGCAATCCCAAGAGGCACAAACATGTTCAGGCGGAGCAGAAGTGAGAAAAACTGTCTTGAGTCCCAGGTGAACAGCACACCGACACTGAGATATTTGAGATATGTTCTTAACTGCAGGGCTGAAGGGGTGAAGAGGAGCCCCTCGTGCAGCCAGCACTCACTGGAGAGTTCAGCAGCTTCCACCACAGAATTAGCTGGTTGCAAACAGGTCCTAATAGCTTTGCCTCGTAGAGCCACAAAATCCAGAGGCTGGTAGCTGCCAAGGGTTTGTTCTTCCACTGCTTAGTGCTCCCCCCCAGGGAAGATGGGGCCAGACACAGTCTCCAGAACTCAGTAAAATCACAGGGGATAAAAGATGAGCAAAGAAGGATGGAAAGTCTTTTCAACAGTCAAGTGTCTGTGCTGTAAGTCCCAAGTTGACCTCCTTTCCAGGGCTGCCAGCCCTTGTGTTTCCATCACAGGTTTCTCAGAGAAGGATTTATTCCCTTTTTTTTTTTTTTTTCCTTTACACCACAGCTGAGGAGTCCTGATTGCAGACTATAACATGAAAACCACGATCCTTCATGCACACACAAAGTGCAGAGAAAGATGCAGTACTGCCGATGGTGGGGAAAGCAGGCAGATGAGGAGAGATACCCCTTTTCTTTTTAAGCCAGTCTCAAGAATTTGGCTGACCTGAGTGACAAGCACAAAGTGCTTTGAGTCCCTCATCATCAGCTCCCAGGAACACATCCCAGTGCTGACCAGACCCCATGGAGGAGGACAATGGTCCTTGGCATCTGGAGGTATGTAGTCACTTCTCCACCAAAGCCGAGACTGACTGAGAACCTCCTCAGTGAGCAAATCACAGCACGTACCCTCCATCAGCAGGATCCATTGCCAACTGCCCTCACGGAGCCAGCCAAGAGCTGGGCTTGGGATAATCGTATCAAAATTCATCAGCCTAATTACTGCTTGTGTTCCCAAGTGGGTGGAGAGAGACTTCAGCAAGCAGAGTAAACATGCCACAATAGCCAGCGGTACCTCCGCACGGCCAGTGGCAGGACTTGCAAGGAGGCTCTGCCTCTTTCTTCGCTTTTTCCCCTACATACACTCCAATTACAAACTTGACCATTCCATGCTCAGCAAGTGCCTCGTTCTGCAGAGACCTAACGCTCCAGAGGGGCTTGCAGGTCTTATTCAAGCTCATGCTTTTGAAGAACCCCCAAATTCCCACACATTCTGGGGAAAACTAATGGCAGTGGTGGCTGCAGGCTAAGCCTGCCATGGGATGCTCTACACAGGATCCAGACTGGAGCCCTGCACACCACATATGCCATGGGGGCAGCAGCAGGGCAGCCCTGCACAACTTGATGTCCTTGGCCATCTTCAGAGCATCACCACACAAATGTTCCTGTAAAGAGGAGCTCGTGGTGGTTTCCCCACTCTTGTGGCTGCCTTCACTGGATGTCTCCACAGCAGATGTTGTGGTCGTCACAGCCATGGTGATTCCCATGAGCTTGATGGGAGCAGGCTATATCCCACCTCTTATCTGACCAAATGTCCTCCAAATCCTTCACAGAGCAACCAAAATCCTGAACAGAAAGCCAGGACATGCTGGAAAGTCCCTAAGCAAACAGCAAGGGTGAAACACACTACTTTCACCTTTCTGGTTGGGGTGGGGGAGATTTCAGATGGATTTAACAGCTCTCAGCAGCACTTTGCTGACTTGAACCAGAGTAGAATCAGACCGGTGGTGAGCACGTCCAACACTCTTCTTCCCAGGATAAGACCCAACCAGGACACAAAGTCATCATTTCCCTTATGTATATGGGGAGCTCCCCCACAGACCCTTTGAGAAGCAGGACAGAAAAGATTCTTGGGATGCAGGAAACCAACAGAGGGTAATTTCTCTGGTGGGACACCTTTGCTCAACTACATAGAAATGCATTACCGGCCTTGATAATGGGTTGATAGCTACTGACTATGGCTCAGCAGAGTTAGTCGGAGAAGAATGGTCAGAAACTCAAGTGGAAAGGTTGGATTTACACCCGGCACCTCTGGTGGTGTGGAGTGATCTACCTGTTCTCCCCATCCTACTGCAGTCTCCCCACATTGAAAATAGAGATATGTCCATCACCTGCCTCAGGGGTGTGTTGCAATGGTTAACTCATTAACCTGTCCATCCAAAATGGCACATGAAGCATGAAGAACATCCATGCCTGATATCAGCACCATTTATGGAATCACATCCAAACTCCTGGACCAGGACTCTGGAAAGTAATAGAAAAAACACAGCGAGGTACCACTGCCAGCCCACACCAACAGCAGCAGACCAGAGACCAGCGGTCACATCACCACTGGCCTGGGCTTCACGTGTCACTGATTGACTCAAGTTTTAATTATGCCCCAATATCTCCATGTCTCCCAAAACACAAAGCTTTCAGCCAGGCAGTTCCTGCCAGCTGAAATTTCATAAAGAGCAGCTAGTGACTAAGACAGGCCAACCTTCAAGTCAGATGCTAACAGCTTTGGACAAGTGTGGGATTTTTACACCCCTATCTGCAGGAAAATCTGATGTTTAGTGCCCTGACTGTGAGCAGGTCACTCTTAAACCCCTGAACATCCCAGGGAAAAAAAAAGAAAAAAAAAAAAGAAGAGAAAAAAAAAAGAAAAAAAAAGTGCCGGAGGGGAATTGTACTGGCTCTAATCCCTTCTGCCATTCTGCATATTCATGGAACATTGTCATAACACATCAGTGGGACAAAAGGTCTGTCGGCACCTCCTCCTCATTCCTTTGATAAACCACGAGACAAATGCTGAGTAAACACTTGGAATCCATTCACTGCACTATTCTCATCGGGATGAGAAAGGGCTCCTCTTTCTTGCAGGCCCAGAGCTGCTCAGCCTAATAAAGTACGGCCCACGGCCCGTGAAAAGAGAGGCCTATGGATGATGAAAACATGGATTATCTCATTTCACCCTCCTTGTATCAGACCCTGCTCACATTCTGAGTGCACTTGGTCTGACACGCAATTACACACACCAAAAAAAAATAATAATAAAATTAAAAAAGAAAAAAAAAAGGCAGGGGAAAGGGGTGTTTAGCGAATGGGGGGACTGTCCGTGAAATTTCACAGATGACCTTTCCCTAGTGGGAAAGTAATTTCTTTCTGCCCCAGCCATCGCCAGGAGTTTTCTCATCAATATCAGCATTCCCCTGAATATTGCAGCTGATGGGAGAAGAGACAGCACTTTTAAGACAAAGCTTTGCAGGTCACTTTAACGGCCCGATTCAAGCTGGTGCTGAGCCCCCAAGAAGTCAATGGGATGTTGCTGAGCACTCCATAAACGGCTCCTGGGCCCTTCCACTGCCTTGGCTCTCTGTTGCCTGCTCGGCAGCGGGGGTAGGCAAAACCCCCTTCTCCTCGCACTCACACGGCTGGAAATCAAGAGTCCTGAGGGCAGCCAAGTGCCTGGAGAAGGAGGAGTTACTTCTGCACCCACGGCAGGATGCAAGCACCTCCGTGGTTTGGGACCTCTGGGTGAAAAGCACGACGTGAGACAAACAGTTTGGGGAATGAGATCTCCTGTGCTGGAGGTCAACGAGCTCCAGTGTGGAAATAAAACCCTCCAGTCCCTTCAGAGGTTTGGAGCCCACCAGAGCACAGAGCAGGCTGGTGAGGCTGGGAGCAGCACAGCTCCTTCAACCTTTATTCACACCCCACAAACAGGCAAAGAGATCAGAGACACATTGTCGTATAACTAATAACCCCCAAAAATCAACATAAAGGGCCTCCTTACCGTTAGACGTTCAGTGACTTGGCCAAGGTTACACAGGACATCAAGCACCAAAGTCACCCCCGAGCGTTTTCCAATGCCTACAGCAGCCTCCTCCGTTGCCCAACTTTCTGGAGGCTGAGCTAAAAACGCCTGCAATGAAACAAAACAAAACAAAAAAACCCTTTAATAACCCAAAACAAAGCAAAAAACTGGCTCTTTTGAAAACAATAATCTGAAAGAAATATTTTCCATTTAAATATGAGCCTTTATTTGGAAGAATATGAAGAGTTTTCAAAGTGAAAATTAATTTCAGAGATAGCACACGGGGAATGAGCACACTCAAAGCAATTGTGCCCATAATAGAAAACAAGACAGAGTTATGAAATGCTGTCAAATGATTAAGAAACAATAAATAGACTGCTGATTAGCTAGGGTCTCTCCTCTTTTAAATAAATGGCTCATAAACCTGTCCACAAACTGAGGGATGAGCGTAGTGGTTGTAAACAGCGTATTCATCGCTTTTGTCCCCGCAAAATCCTTACGTTCACCCTTAAGTCTCAAACAAAAAAAATAATACGTGAGCAGTTGTTCCTTGGCCTGGCACGTTACTTGTGCTATTCAAATATTTGCGTTTTACAAGGTGTTTGTTACAAAACCTCCCCGAGGACTCTGCCGCAGCCTCCCAGCAGCTCCAGCCTCTCGCTGGGCTCCGAGCAGAGCCCGTGTGAGCCCCCAGCCAGGCTGGCCGTGCCGGCTGTTTGTTTTCCCCCAGCCAGGGACTCCTCTCCCCGAGCAACCAAGACGCAAAAGCAAGTGTGAAACTTGCAGGGCTTCCAAGCGGCTGTTTGTTTTGCTGCCCAAAAGCAATTTTCGGGCTAAACTGTATTTGCACGTGTAACGGCCACATTTTCCCTGCCCCAGGGACGGGTGACTGACGAGCAGGCTGTCACCTACAAACACCTACATCTGACCCACACAGCGACACAGCACAGGACTTAATTAAAATATTAGACTAATGCAGTGATTTCTTTCCTTAGATGATGTTTTTATTTCCCAGTTGCTGCATTATTAAAAAAAAATAAAACTGAAAAAAAATCATCAGTGTTGTTAAGCCCAGACCTTGAAATGATTTATGCGCATAACTCCTATTCGAGTCCAAATGATCTCAGCTGTCTTTGGGATACAAGCCTCAGAGAGCTCCTCACTCAATATTTCTTATGGATATAAGTCTCCATACAGTTTCTTTGCCTGCCCAGCAGCGGGTCCAGCCAGCAGGGCCTTGGAGCTCTGAATTCAACCCCATGGGCTAAACACTGATTTTGAGCACGTGAAGATGCAGAGCAATCTCCCTTCCCTCCTGCAGCCACCACCTGCAGCCAGTGGTACCAGACTGCCCTCTCCACCCGCCAGGACCCAGCTGGGGAACAGATCAGTTTTGAAAAGGAGCAGGAACAACCCTCAGCCTGCTCTGGGCAGCTTTCCAGGGACTCTGCTGTGCTTTGCCTGAGGTCCCACAGCTCCTGTGCCGTTCCCCAGTGTTGGGATGCAGGCAACTGCCCAACCCAGGGCTGCTCCAAGGATGCTTGGCGCTGTGCAGGGTAGGAGGCTTCATATGTCTCACTCCAGCCCGTTGCTCTCCAGGGATGAGTCTGACACCCTCAAGAGCTGTCAGGCCCTGGGGAAGGGTCAGAATTTGGCCCTGAAGACTGATGGAAGGTTTTTTCCATCAACTCCTGCAGAAGCAGCTTCGGTACCTGTTGCATCCTGTCAGCAGCGCTCAGGTTAGAGCATCCAGCCTTAAATCGACAACGTTCCTCTGAAAACCCGATAAGTAATTGGGGGATCTGCTAATAGGGCTTGTCAAAATCAATTGGGGTTAAACACCTTTAGCTACAATAACAGTCATCTGACCCCGGGCTCCAGAAACTGCCAGGCTCAGAGGAACCCCGGGGGGTTATTCCTGGCTTCCCATTGCTTTGAGACAGATAAAAGAGCAGACGATGCAGAGCTGGGTAATCCGTTCAGCCCGTCCCAGCCATGCACTGAAGTGACAGCTCCCAGAGTTTCTGCAGAGCTGGCTCCTCCTGGGAATTGTGTGCAGAGGGGCCAATTTGTTCAACAAAACCTGGGCAACCAGAGTTTTCTTAAATTCAATTGCCTGAAGGAGAAGGCAAATAGCATTTAAGCGGAGGAAAGTGCATTAAAACCACATCTTTGATACAATGGCAGATACACCCCACGCTGCCAACGTCTGAAATGATAATATTTTTTTTCTTAAATAAATAACTCAGCGGCAGGATCCCAGCCTCCCCCAGCACAGGGAGGCTTCACGCTGCAACAGCCGCATTTCCAGCCCTCCAGGCCAAACTGCTTCAACGCTTCCCCTCTTTCCTGGGCTCATTTCCGAGGGTGGGCAAGCTCAGGAGGGACTGACAGTGGTACCCACGCTGTGCTGAGGATCCACACATCCAGAGGGCACTTTTGGCTTATGCTTCCCACCATCTCCCAGTAGGGAAGGCACAGGAACATCAGTTAGCGTGGGCATCCTTCCCAGATTGGTACAAAGGGCTTTTCCTGCCCTTGGGAACTTACTGCCTTTAGACATCTGTCTTAACACAGAGGAAGGCAAAGAAGGTTGGTTCAGGAGAGAAGCAAATATTTAGGATTTGGGCACTTGCACAACCCAGTGGGCCTCTTGCTGTTTGTCCAGTTGCGGGATGCACCACCACCTCCTCCCTGGGAGCTTTTCATCTGTGCCTTCCTCCCTCCTCCATCTGAGCACTGTCTGTGACCGTGAGGACATCGGGGACCTCAGGAGAGGGTCTTCAGGTATCCCAGGAGAGGCTCCTCAAGGACCTGGGACCCTGAGCTAGACAGAAGTGATGCAGGGGAAAGGGACAGAGCTTTCCTGCTGCATCCCAGGCAGGATGCTCGGTGGCTGGCTGTCCCTTTGCAGAGCAGCAGCTAACTTCATCCTTAAGCACAACATGTCATCTTTGCATGAAGTCAAGCCTATAATGAGGGATTTCAAATCATTCCATCCAGTCTCAAAACTTCTGTGGAAGTATGAGACAGTCAAAGAAAGACATCCCTTGCCATGCCTCCACGAACTGCAGAGAAAGCTGCTTTCGGGCTTTCCTCCCTGGAGATTTCAGCTTCTTCTGCTTTTGTGAGGTCCTAACAAGGTTGTCTCTCCCACACAGGTCAGGCCTTTTAACTTCCCACCTTGGCCGGGGCCCAAAAATCCAGTGCCAAAGTGAAAGCCAGCAATACAGAGAACAAACATTACCCCAATGCTTCCAAACAGGCATGAGTGAGGGGAGAGGGAGGGCAGCAGCGAAACCTTAGCAGAACAGGAGATGAAAGGGTGATACCAGGGAATACCAGCAGGGAAAATGGGAAGGAATTTACTAAACAAAATCTTTCCTTCAACATCAGGGAAGGTCTTTCATCTGTGAGGGATGTCACACCATGGACATCTGCATTATCATTCAAAATCAGCTCTAGTTTTCCCCCCAAGCCACCCTCTGCCTCTCTCCCGTGAGTCCAGCCACCTCCAGCAGAAACCAGACACCCCCATGTGGGATACCAGCACATGAAACCTTCAGTGATTATGGTCCCAAACTGTTCAGAGAAATCTGAATGGGGAGGGATTGGTAGTGATACAATGCAAAACACAGTTGAGGAAAACCTGGGGAACACCAGAAGTGAAGGTGCTGACCTTACCTTGGGAAACAGCAAAACTTGGTCTTTCCCAGGGATGGGATGCAGCCAGGACCACCCATGTGGTCATACACACATGGAGGGGTGCTAGTCAACTGCAAGCCCAAAGAAAGAATTGAAAAAAAAAAAAAATCCCAAGGTCTCCCTGCATCCAGAATTGTCTCCCCTGAATCTCAGAGATGCCACAGGAGGGCTGTACCATCTGCCCAGAGCACATGCACGTTGGTGTACATCAGAGGTTGCAACCACCTGCGCAACCACAGCAGATGAAATTATTCTACTGAGATGACTTAGTTCCCTGGGTGACATCGAAGGGGATCAGGCTTCAGGCAGCATCCCCTGGATGCTCCTGGCTGCAATAGATAGGGGTGGACAGGGCAAGCACTGGCTGCTGGGTGCCCCTTTTTGCCCATCCTCAAGGTGTGGGAGGAGGCCAGCTATGGGGCTTGGTCCTCTCATTCCAGATTTGCACAAGGGAAAGGGAAGAACTGCTGGAACCCAGCCCTCTCCTGAGTCACTGTGGCAGGGGAATCACCTCCCCGAGTGGGAAGAAAGGGCTCGGTGGGTACTGGAGGAAGGGACACAAGTCACACTGCAGCTTGAGGCAGATGTCAGCTCACATGTGTCACATTTTGTACAAAAAAAGTGATTCCACCTGGTCCAACACACTTCTCTTGGTGCCTGCAGCAAGACCCCCCTGCAGGGAGACTAACCTGCACCTTCACCTGGGCTCCTTTTTTACCAAAACTCCAAAAATATTAAATGTGAAGGGAAATTCAGAACGCTTTGAAGGACTCTGCATGGCTCCGCTCAAAGAAGACTCCAATTTCTAAAGAAAGTCTAAACCAACTGTCATCGGCCAAGGGGCACATTGTCCCTCGGAGCGGTGGCTGGTGCCACATAGGAGGTATTCAGTCTAAATTAACTCTCCCCCTAATACCTGAGCAAACATTTTCAGCTTGAGACTTAATATCCCTGGACATGTCTGCTCCACCTCCAGCAGAAACCAGACACCCCCATGTGGGATACCAGCACATGAAACCTTCAGTGATTATGGTCCCAAACTGTTCAGAGAAATCTGAATGGGGAGGGATTGGTAGTGATACAATGCAAAACACAGTTGAGGAAAACCTGGGGAACACCAGAAGTGAAGGTGCTGACCTTACCTTGGGAAACAGCAAAACTTGGTCTTTCCCAGGGATGGGATGCAGCCAGGACCACCCATGTGGTCATACACACATGGAGGGGTGCTAGTTAACTGCAAGCCCAAAGAAAGAATTAAAAAAAAAAAAAAAAAAACACAACTGCAAGCCCAAAGAAAGAATTGAAAAAAAAAAAAAATCCCAAGGTCTCCCTGCATCCAGAATTGTCTCCCCTGAATCTCAGAGATGCCACAGGAGGGCTGTACCATCTGCCCAGAGCACATGCACATTGGTGTACATCAGAGGTTGCAACCACCTGCGCAACCACAGCAGATGAAATTATTCTACTGAGATGACTTAGTTCCCTGGGTGACATCGAAGGGGATCAGGCTTCAGGCAGCATCCCCTGGATGCTCCTGGCTGCAATAGATAGGGGTGGACAGGGCAAGCACTGGCTGCTGGGTGCCCCTTTTTGCCCATCCTCAAGGTTTGGGAGGAGGCCAGCTATGGGGCTTGGTCCTCTCATTCCAGATTTGCACAAGGGAAAGGGAAGAACTGCTGGAACCCAGCCCTCTCCTGAGTCACTGTGGCAGGGGAATCACCTCCCCGAGTGGGAAGAAAGGGCTCGGTGGGTACTGGAGGAAGGGACACAAGTCACACTGCAGCTTGAGGCAGATGTCAGCTCACATGTGTCACATTTTGTACAAAAAAAGTGATCGCACAAGGGAAAGGGAAGAACCCAGCCCTCTCCTGAGTCACCGTGGCAGGGGAATCACCTCCTTGAGTGGGAAGGAAGGGCTCAGTGGGTACTGGAGGAAGGGACACAAGTCACACTGCAGCTTGAGGCAGATGTCAGCTCACATGTGTCACATTTTGTACAAAAAAAGTGATTCCACCTGGTCCAACACACTTCTCTTGGTGCCTGCAGCAAGACCCCCCTGCAGGGAGACTAACCTGCACCTTCACCTGGGCTCCTTTTTTACCAAAACTCCAAAAATATTAAATGTGAAGGGAAATTCAGAACGCTTTGAAGGACTCTGCATGGCTCCGCTCAAAGAAGACTCCAATTTCTAAAGAAAGTCTAAACCAACTGTCATCGGCCAAGGGGCACATTGTCCCTCGGAGCGGTGGCTGGTGCCACATAGGAGGTATTCAGTCTAAATTAACTCTCCCCCTAATACCTGAGCAAACATTTTCAGCTTGAGACTTAATATCCCTGGACATGTCTGCTGTCTCCCAGGTGAATCCCCAGATAAACAAGGACAGATATCAGCTCGCACGTGTCACATTTTGTACAAAAAAAAGTGATTCCACCTGGTCCAACACACTTCTCTTGGTGCCTGCAGCAAGACCCCCCTGCAGGGAGACTAACCTGCACCTTCACCTGGGCTCCTTTTTTACCAAAACTCCAAAAATATTAAATGTGAAGGGAAATTCAGAACGCTTTGAAGGACTCTGCATGGCTCCGCTCAAAGAAGACTCCAATTTCTAAAGAAAGTCTAAACCAACTAAACCAACTGTCATCGGCCGAGGGGCACATTGTCCCTCGGAGCGGTGGCTGGTGCCACATAGGAGGTATTCAGTCTAAATTAACTCTCCCCCTAATACCTGAGCAAACATTTTCAGCTTGAGACTTAATATCCCTGGACATGTCTGCTGTCTCCCAGGTGAATCCCCAGATAAACAAGGTCAGCTCAGCTCTAATGCGGCTGTAAAAAGCTGTCACTCAGCCCCGGAGGTCTGGTTGCAAGGTCAAACCAGTTCTGAAGGTTGCTGGGGCCAAACCTGGCCTGCCACTCATTTTAAGTGCAGGAAGGTTTGTTTTCTCATCACAATGTCAGGTATCCCAAATTTAGGATTAGCTGTCGGCCGCCACAACATTGTTCTTTCAAAAAAAC